AGTCTTGCATACGCATCGACTGGAGAGCTGGCTCTGCCATCATTATTTTGAAGGTGATATTTTTTAATAACAATTGCTGGCATTTGTGACATATTCACTAGCTCTATGGAGATGCTGTATGATTTACCTTCTATGTGTGTTTTAAGTAGTGTGTGTGAGCAATGGTGACCATCACTGTTTAACATGAGGTTTTTTTTAAAGTTAAAGGCTTATCATAACAGTTTTAATCATGTAATATGTGAACCTGCCTCCAAAGGAAGTTCCAATAAATGGTGTTCCTGAAATAAGACAGAGAGGAGAAGGGGGAGGGGAGGGACGGAGAAAAGAGAGGGGAGGAGGAAGGGGGAGGGAGGGAAAAAGGGAGGGAAACTTTATCAAAAGAAATTTGGCATGGGTTACAGAAATAGCTTAGTGAATATGTCACAAATGCCAGCCCAGAAGCCACATAGAAAAGCCAAGCATGATAGCACATGTTTATAATCCCAGCACTGGAGAGGCTGAGACTGACAGATCTCTTGGACTGGTAAGCCATCTCCATCAAAGAAGTGAGCTCCAAGCCTAAAGGAGACCCTGTTTCAGAATCAAAATCAAAGACTACTCCTGAGAAATGGCACCCAAGGTTATTCTCTGGTTTCCACATCTATGTATACACACACACACACACACACACACACACACACACACACACACACACACACACACATACACACACACACCAGTATGGGTCATGGGGCAATATATGGCCTATACTCTCTTTAGATGTAATGCCACAGTCTAGACACTACATTTTGAGATTTAAAATTTGCATCCTTAATTGTGTGCAGAGATTGAACACAGTCACGAAAGAACAGGGAGAGCAGAAAGCGTTTGGGGTGTTAGCCAGGTACTGGAGGCTTTGAGAAAAGTCTAGAAGGATTCTTCCAGAGAAAAGGATTGGGGCTCATTGTTGACTTCTTTAGAGGGGTGGAAATTCCGGGAGAGGAAGATCAAAAGAGAGCAGTGGGTAAAATCAGGGACATTGCTGCTACTTGGTACTAGGAAGGATGAACAACAGGATCGGCTGGCAGAAACTGCCACTGGGGTCTAAGGAACCCAACCATCCTAACGGGGAAGGGAAACACCGCGGGACCCCGTGAGATGCCATTTGCTTTCTGTTTTCTTAAGAAGAAAAAAAATCTGACAGATCCAATCAGAGAAACCAGATGTTTTCATTTTATAATGTGCCCGTTTTAATTATTTTAGAATCAAGATGTTTTCTGTAAGTGAAGGTGGAGGAATTATGGAAAGAAACCTGATTCTAACTATAAATGGAACAGATGGGGTGGTGGGAATAAAAACAAATTAAAACAGTATTGCAGGGAGCGCTCAACTTTCGTTTAAAAAATATATGATGATATTTTTCAACTTTTCACATTCGACCAATTCATATATCGAGTGACAGAATGCAAAACCAATTTCAGCTGTGTATAGTTTAAACATTTGCCTAAATGATCTGGACTTACCCCATCTAAAAGTCCAGATGAATGTATTAAACTGCTAATTGTATTTTTTCTATCCATTAGAATTTTATATTTTATACTGTATTATAGGCAGGGTACAGTTATGTTTGATGACTTTCAGGGCAGAAAAATAGAACTAAACAGTGGTCTTAATTAGAACAGTAAATAGTATGGGTTTAATTAGCTCCCATTCCTGATGACAGATTTGGTCAGCTGCCACATATTTATTGTTTCTGTCTCTCTACTGAGGCTGAGGTACTGCTCTACAGGGCTGTTCACTGGGCTATTAACAGAATCTGTCAGACCCGATAACCTGTGGGACTTGAGTGAAAAGTATTGGAAAACCTTTTTTCTTCCCATCATTACTCTTTGAATTTAGTTTTGAAGGTCTTCCCTACCAATTCCCCTCTTAATTTAATTTTTTAGGGGAAGGGGATGATGATGATGTAATGTGCCTGAAGGCTTAGGGAAACCTGAGCAATATTTAATTCAGGCACATGTATTCCTTACTTTGCTGTGGTTTCCCTCTACACCCTTATATTCTCTGTCTTATGACTTACCTATTAAATTCCGTCTGACTTGTACAGTTATTTCTATAGTCCACGAGGATAGGGTTTTGTTTGTTTGCTTGCTTGGTTTTAAGTAAGACATTACGTGTTTTATCTTTTATAATATGGTACAAGGGGCTGGAGAGATGGGTCAGTGGTTAAGAGCACTTACTGCTTTTTCAGAGGACTGGAGTTCTGTTCTCAGCACCCATTCTGGAGGACTACCACCTATAGCTGGAAGTTTTCCTATGTCCTGCCCAGTCCCACAGCTGCTCAGACCCAAGTAAACACACAGAGGCTTATATTATTTTAAACTATATGGCCATGGCTTATGGCTCAAGCTTCTTTCTTATAACTAAACTCAGCCCATTTCTATTAATCTGTATGTCACCATGTGTTCCATGGCTTTACCTGTGTGCCATTACATGCTGCTCCTTGGACAGCAGGATGGCATCTCCTGCCTCTCTTTTCTCCTTTCACTATCTCCCTTGGATTTTCCTACCTTGCTCCATCCTGCCCTGCCATAGGCCAATGCAGCTTTATTTATCAACCAATCAGAGCTCCATCCTGCCCTGCCATAGGCCAATGCAGCTTTATTTATCAACCAATCAGAGAAACACATATTCACAGCATACAGAAAGACATCTCACAGTAACCATGCCCTGTGACGCCCCCCTCCAGGGGATCTGATGCCTTCTTCTGGCCTCCAAAGTAGCGTGTGCTCAATCATGTGCACGCACTATGCCACCCCAGACACACAAATACACATAACTAAACATAAAAATACACCCTTTAAAAATGCTACAAAATATGGGGACACAACACAAAATGTTGCTAAAGTCATTCAAAGCCCTCTCACTCTCTCACTGTAACTATTTATTTATCTGGGCGTCTCTTTGTTAATTCACAGGCAGACTTACCACGTTAAACATAATACAGCCTTGTATCTAGGTAAAGTGTTGTCATCTAATGATTGTATTTTGGCCTAAATTCCTTAAAAAAAAATATTTCAAAAACCACCAAAGTTCATAGAGAAACAAAACCATTACCCATGAAAGCCCACCTGGCTTAATGTTGATTTTTGAAGCTTAGGCTTATTTGCTGTAGACATTTTTTTGAGTGATAAAGAAAATAAAGTAATGCTGTTCCTCTGTGACTTTCCTCAGGGATGGCGAGCAGACCTGCAGACCTGCCTCTTCTCTTTTTTTTTTTTTTAAGATTTATTTATTATGTATACAGCATGTATGACTGCAGGTCAGAAGAGGGCACCAGATCTCATTACAGATGGTTGAGAGCCACCATGTGGTTGCTGGGAATTGAACTCAGGACCTCTGGAAGAGCAGTCAGTGCTCTTAACCTCTGAGCCATCTCTCCAGCCCCTGCCTCTTCTCTTCTTAGAGGCAGTTTGATGGGTGTTCTTCCAGCCCATGCTCCTCGACTTTCACGGCCATGTTTTCGTGTGTGTTCACTAAGCTGTCTTTATATGAAGATAGAGAGAAAGTGCCTGGGTTTTTATTTTAAAGAAATTAAACCATACCAGCCTTTTCTATTTTTTTTTAACCTCTGTTAATAAGTATAAGACAGTCTTTCCTATGCTAACCATATGACCGTCAATGTTTATATGGCATATGATTTTTCCTGGTATTTTATGGTTTCAGAGCCTTAATATAAATTTCTAAGAGATCTGGAATTCATTTGGACATATTTTAAGAATTTATAGATTTTTTTAAAAAAAGTTTTTTATTAGATTTATTCGTTTTGCTTTATGTGTGGGTGTTTTACCTGCATGTATGTTTGTGATCATATGTGTGCTTGGTGCCCGCTGAGGTCAGAAAGGGCATTGGATCCCCTGGGACTGGAGCTACAAACAGTTATAAATTCCTACGTGGGTGCTGGAGATCAAACTTGGGTTCTCTGTGAGAGCAACAAGTGCTCTTAACTGCTGAGCGCTTTCTCCAGACCAAGAATTTATCTATTTGTATATAAAAAAATCTTCAATACTAGTACTTAGGAGACCGAGGCAGTAATAGGTGGAGAGCAGCCTGGGGTGTACAGAAAGTTCAGGGTCTGCAGGAGCTACATCGTGAGATATTATCTCAACTATTAAAATAGCTTATAGCTACTTTTAGTAGATATGATAAAAGTGCTTTTGATGTGTGTATGAAATGGCATAATGAAACACATTTTGTGCAATTAATATGCACTAATAAAGCATTATGAGAAAAATTAATACCTATGATTACTTGTTATGTCAATGCTATAACTCTTTTTTTTTTGAAACAGAGTATCTCAGTGTAGCCCTGGCTGTCCTGTAGACCAGGCTGGCTTCTAACTCAGAGATCCGCCTGCCTCTGCCTCCCAGGTGCTGGGATTAAAGGTGTGCACCACCTCCGCCCTGCTGCTGTAACTCTTAATTGAGATAAATTTCCTCATTCCCTCACTTTTACTGGTTTTGAGATTTTATTTTTTAATTTACTTTCATTTTATGAATGTTTATTTTTACTTTGTGGTTGTTTTACCTGCATGTATGTCTATGCACCACACGTATTCCATATTGGATCTCCTGGAACTGAAGTTAGAGAGTTGTGAGCGGCCAGACAGGTGCTAGGATTCGATCCCAGGTCTTCTGGAAGAGCAACCAGAACTCTTAACCGCTGAGCCTTCTCTCCAGCTCCGCTTGTACTCTCTGTAAGGGGAAGTCCAGAAGATGGTGTCTAACTTCCTGACCAGCTGAAGTCACTGTAAGCCCAGTATTGTACTGCACAAGCCAGGAACGTCCTCGTTGTACATGGCTGGAACTTTACACACACTGAACAGCCTCCACCCCTCTATGCCCCAGGAGTCTCTGGCAGCACCATTATCCCATTCACCAAACTGGACTGCTATGGGTATCTCCTGTGAGTAGAATTAGGTGACTTCTATAACTAACTGCATTTCCCCCCCCCACATCCAGACCTCGAGAAACACTCCTTCAGAGGAAGACAAAGATGGCAACTGGGATGCTTGGGGAGACTGGAGCGACTGTTCCCGGACCTGTGGGGGCGGAGCTTCCTATTCTCTGCGGAGGTGTCTGACGGGAAGGTCAGTGGTGGCTTGGGGGCTCCTGGGGGGGGGTTGTGTCAATGATTCTGGGTGAGTGAGGAGGGGAGAAGGTGTGGCTCTGAAGCGCTCTATTTGGTGACTTTCTACCATAAACATCAGCCAATCTCAAGGTAACCTATTTAAGTGGGAATGGTCCTACTTCTGGGTATTTCATTGTATCCCGTTTACATAATGGTCACAGGGTTCAGGAAAACCAGTCACTTCAGTCCTATGAAAGTGAAGGCCTGTTAAGTTCAGATGCTGGTTTGATATTGTCAGGATTTGGGGGCAAAAGGTTATGTCATCTTGGTGGCAGTCCTTGAGAGGCTGCCACTGAAATTTCTTTCTTGTTCACTTACTGTGAACCTACCATGGGTCAAGAAGGTGATGCGGGAACTGGAGAGCTGACACAGGGGATTAAACGCTTGCTGAACAAGCATAAGGACCCAAGTTCAGATCCCGAGAGCCCGGATAAAAGCCAGGAGTGGTGGTGCAAACTTGTAACCCAGTATAGGTGGGCAGAGATGTGGATCACAGGGGCATGCTGGTCAGCAAGTCTAGCCAAAGCAGTGAACCTATGTTCAGTGAGAGATCCTGCCTCAAAATATAAGATAGAGAACTATGGGGAAGATGCCAGACATTGACATCTGGTCTTCACTTATGCACACACAGGTGAGCATACCCACATATTCAAATAAATACACCACACACACACACACACACACACACACACACACACACACACTTATAAAGACGATAATACATGCTCTGCTTTCACCTCTTAGGTACACTTATACTAAAATGTAAGATCAGTTTAATTTTAAAAGCCCACAAATCTCTGGGAAACCTGTACTTGCTGTTCTTGAGGTCGTGACTCATGGGAGAGTTTAAACCTGGTTCTTAGGTGAGACACAGCCTCAGGTCCATGGACTCTCATTCTCTGGTCTCAAACAAAAACCTCCTAGATTACGGCAACCTCATTGTGGGATGCCGTGGGGTGAAAGAGTAAACTGGCTGTTACTGCTTATCGCCAGCGACAGAGAAGAAACCCAAAGGGAGCATATTTTATTCTGCTCAGTTTATGTTTCATGCAGATCTTAGGCAGGCATATTAGACAGTGACTAAGAATGTCCTTCAGTTTCCCTGAGATGGTGCAGGGCATGGTGGATGACGAGAACAGAGTCCCTTGAGAAGGAGGACACATTAGTCCACCCAGGGAAGCATGGCAAGGCTGTTGGAGTATGGCAGTAGTTTCATCTAGAGAAAAATTTGACAGAACATCAGCTTCTGTAAATGGCTGTAGAACTGAAGCCAGGCTCAGTCCAGTGAAGATAAGGGCTATGCCTGATCCCCTCTCCCTTGTCTTTCATTTTTGCTGGGAACTCAAGGCTCCACTACTCTAAACACATTGTGATATGCAGAAGAATGATGGCATGTTTCATAATATTAGGATATATGTGTGTGTGTATGTGTGTGTGTGTGTGTGTGTGTGTGTGTGTGTGTGTGTGTGTGTGTGTGTGTTGTTGTCAGAGGGCCACATATCTGTGGTCAAGGGGAGGGTGGTGACTTCTTTGATGTCGGGTAAATTCCTCTCCAGTGCTGGTCAATCACTGAGGGGAGAGTGGTCAACCTGAAAACTGAAGGGGCAGCTTGGCTGTCTCTGTGTAACCTCCAAATATGAGGAATCATTTGAAATCAATGGTAGTTAGAATAACAAAGAAGTGGTCTTTGTTCCATTGTCTTTGAGTTAGCTCCATGCCTGTGGGTTTGTGACCTCTTCATCCTAAGGGGGCTGTGTGTGTGTAAATAAGTAAAACGTTGCTCAGCTTCTGTCTTTCCTGCTGAAGGTGTGGACAGGAGAGAAAAGAGAGCACACTGTTGTGACAGAAGACAGTGTTCTGCGGCATGGCTGCTGTTTAGAGCTGGCTCCTAGGAGGACTTTGGTGGATTTTTCTGAGCCACTGCCCATCTTCTCTGAGCCTAGTCCAATGAGCTCTCTTGTCTCCTCTTCTCTTGATATGCTCTATTCAGTACACTTTGTCTAGTATAAGGGCTTTTCCTCAACCCTTGGACCCGTAGGCACATGCCTAACTTATTTACCTGTATTACCCTCAGTGCTGCCTGGTGGGCTCTTAGGACCACCTCATGCTGGCTCTTTCTTCATGTATCCCACAGGAAACCCTCAGATGAATACACATGAACAAACTCTCAAAGTTCACTCTGACAGGCTGCTGCAGCTGACCACAACACCCTTCAGTTTCTTGGGTATGACTTGCACATTACCCAATGGGAAGGGACACATGATGAACTCTTCAGGTGGTGTCCCAAAGTTCTTTCCCTTGGCTCCAACCCCCTTCCTTCCCTAGCAAGCCCCTGTCCTTCCTGCCACTCCCTTTCTCAGACTGAAAGATTTTGTGTTTGTTCTGTGACCCATTTGGTTTAGGCAGGACCACCTGTGTGAGCAGTGGATTGGAACTTTCATTGGGGCCTGGTGGGGTCACCAGTGAGCATCTAACTGAAGGGAATGATTCTAAGGGGATGACTACCTCAGGCCTGAATCTCTCAGTAACAAATACTCCGGACATCGGGGTACAGCTGCTTAGAGTCTCTCCTCTGTGCCCACTCTTGTGCTGCCCCTATGCCAGCACCCATCTCTCTCATTTTTATGGAGTATTTCCTCCGTCAAGAGATTCCCAGGCATCTAAAACTATCTTTATTTTATTTTTGAACTGGAATGGTAGATTTTCCCCAGGTATATGATGGCATAGATGTAATTTCCTCCCGAGAAATTAGAAGGTATCACCACACCATTTCATGATGTCAAATGGCAGATTGAGAAATCTGAAGACCGAATTCCATTCTTCCCTCCTCTGTAAACACATAGAAATGCCCCTGTGTCTTGGTGAGACTTTCTCTAGAAAATATATTCCCTTCAAGTCCCATCTTTCATTGCTAATTCTTTGTTTTCATTTATTTATTGACTTATTATGGCCATAAATCCTATTAACATAGATTTTTCTCTTTTTGCCCGTTTGCTCTGCTTCTTTGCTTCTTGGGAAATTTGCGCTCTCTCTCTCTCTCTCTCTCTCTCTCTCTCTCTCTCTCTCTCTCTCTCTCTCTCTCTCCTTTTATTCCTTGAATTTTAAAAGAAAGGTGTTCTGTCCCAGATTCTGTTTTGTCTCTGGGGTAAGGATAGATGTCTGCAGGGTGCTCCCTTCTTCTTCCAGGGTCTCAGTTCTTTCTCTGTATCGTTCCAATTTTAGTGTATGTGCTGCTGAAGTGAGCACTCTCAATTCTTTCTCAAGTGTTGTTTTCTGGTGTGTTTGTTTTATTATCACATTTCATGTTAGAGAACTCTCTAAGGGTTGTGGAGATCTAGGATGTCTTATTTTGGACTGCTCTGTCTTTTCAAAGAAGGCTCATCTGATTCCATTATCTAGGAAACAAGTGAGGCAGAAAGTTAGACTTATCAGGACTCTGTTTTCAGTAGAGTGTGGGTCTTTGTGTTTAGTTATCTCTCAGTCCAGACACTTTAGTTTAAACTCTGGAGATAAAAACATGGTCTTTATTGTGGTTTTAATTAAAGATTTACTTTATTACTCATTTGTAGGATGTGTGTGTGTGTGTGTGTGTGTGTGTGTGTGTGTGTGTGTTTGTATGTGTGTGTACATACAGATGCCCTCAGAGGACAGAAGACAGGGTCAGATCCCCTGGAGCTGGAGCTATGAATGGTAGTGAGCTGGGTGCTAGAATCTGAACTCTGACCCTCTGAAAGAACAGCAGGTGCTCTTACCTCTCCAGCCCCCACCATCTTTTCTTATTAATTGTTTAAGAATTTCATGCATGAATATAGTGTGTTTTAATCACTTCCCCCTCCAAACCCTCCCAATGACTACTTTTCCCTCCCAATCTAATATGATCCTACTGGAAAGTTCCAGAGGTAGCCAAGAGCAATGACCACGGTCTATATTGTTTTGGAGTTTAGGGGACCCCAGTGACCAACAACACAAAGGGAGGGGACCTGTATTTGGCGTTAGGCTTTTTGTTTGATAGCCTGTGACACCTGGGAGAGACGTTGACTCCATAAGGGTAACTCCATTAAAACATGTATATTTATGAATGTAAACACATATAAACATTTATATTTTAGGAAGATTCTGCAATAGTAGATTCCCAGATGGCTTTCCCAGAGGACTTTAGCGTTGGTCATCACCCCTCAAAGAACAGAGCTTTTTGCTGCGCTGAGGGGTGGAAGCTAGAGGCAAACTACTTCGGGCTATGATGTCCCTGCTGTTTGTTTTAATGTTTATTTTTGCAGATATTAGTTATATGTATAATGATGAGCTTAATTATGACATTTTGTACAGGCATATGCATGTCATCAGCATTCTTACAAGAGTATGGTACCTCACCATTGGCTACAACACTGAAGAAGATGGCTTTCCCTCTCCAGAACCCATTGACTGGCTTTAGATCCTTAGGGTGGATGGGGCCATGTGAGCCCCACCCCAAGCATGTTGATGGCTCAATCATTTTCTTTTCTTTTTCTTTTTCTTTTTTTTTTTTTTTTTTTGGTTTTTCGAGACAGGGTTTCTCCAAGTAGTTTTGGTGCCTGTCCTGGATCTCCCTCTGTAGACCATGCTGGCCTTGAACTCACAGAGATCCGCCTGCCTCTGCCTCCTGAGTGCTGGGATTAAAGGCATACACCACCACCGCCTGACGATGGCCTCAATCTTGTGCAGGTCTTGTTCAAACAATCACAGTGGTTGTGAGTTGTGGTGTAATGTCTATGCTGCTCCTGGAAGATAGCATTCCACAGCACTCTGCCCCCCTTTCTATGGCTCTTGTATTCTTCCTGCTCCGTCTTCTATAATGTTCCCTGCACACTGGAGGGGCTGACGCAGATGTCCCCTTTATGGCTGAGCTTTCAAATGTCATTCATTCTTATCATATGACCAGTTGTGCATCTCTGCATTCACTGCTGCCCACTGAAAACAGAA